AATAATATACTTTATTGTCATTGTACATAGTACAATGAAATTAAAAATGCAATCATTTCGGTGATCTACAACCATACTCATATACACTCACACAACCATTCACAACCATCCCATAACTCCCTTAAGGTTCACATTGCAACTTAAACCACCAATGTCACCCAAATTCCAATTTCAGACAGCATTTAAAGAAATAATAGCTCTCGAATAAAGACTATTTTTTAATCTTTTTGTCCTTGTTTTAATTCTCCTATATCTTCTACCTGAAGGCAGCAGTTCAAACAGGGAGTGTTCAGGGTGTGACAAATCCTGCAAAATGTTCTTTGCTTTTTTCAAACATCAAGAGCTATACAATTCCTCCAGGAATGGGGGAGGACAGCCAATAATCTTCTGGGCTGTGATGATAACTCTCTGGAGTGCTTTCCTATCCACAGCCATACAACTGGCAAACCAGGCACAGACGCAGTATGTTAAAATGCTCTCTATTGAGCAACGATAGAAGGATATCAGTATTTTCTCACTCAAGTTATTTTTCTTTAAAAGTCTGAGAAACTCAAGCCCTATGTTGAGGAGAAAGTAGGCTGCTCCCTTAATTCTACTTCTCCATACTGGGTTCTGTGCTTTATTGTCTCCCTCTCTCTCTCTCCGTGGAGGAAGAGAGTGGGATGCTTATCATAAATACAGACTTGTCTCCCAGAGAAGGCCTAGTTTGGGGGTCTGTTATCCTCCTATTTAAGAGTCCAGGAACTAGCTTGCGAAATCCGAGCGATACAGCTCTTCCCACCCCAAGTGGGGAGAGTGGAGGCTTGTTTGGACTCTCCTGGGCCAGCCTCTTGTCGTGTCTGCACTGAGATTCATCCTCCCACTTGACGGATTAAGGTCCGCATGGCATTCTCGTGCTGCGGGGCAGGAGCGGCAGGGCGACAGCCCTTAAGAAAACTGTCCCGAGTCAGGCAGGCCACCTGACCCAGAGACTTGCTCCGGAGAGACTCAGTCCCAGGTACTTCATGGTGCAGCAGGGCATGATTCAAGTAGACATTGCCACTCGTCCCTTGCCACCAGCAGCTTAAGGCAGTGATGCCAGATACAAAGTCTTCCACTGCTGTGTTTCTTAATGGACTTCCCCCCCTTCTAAACTTGCATTGTTTCATAAAAGTAATTGGTAACACGCAGTGGATATTTTTGAGCAGTTTCAAAGCTGTAGCTAACTTTTTTTCAAGTGAATGTTCCTGAGAGGCAAGTGTATGTGTGTGAAGGTATACCCATCAGTGTTCCCTCTAAGCTGAATTTGTGTGAGCTAGCTCACAGTTTTTTAGCCTCCGGCTCACACATTTTTGCCTTCGCTCAGGAAGGATGGCTCCAGAGCAAGCTAATTCATGCAGTAGCCAAATCACCTGCTCACAACTTTAACACCAGTAACTCAGAAAGTAGAATTTTTGCTCACAGGACTCCACAGCTTAGAGGGAACATTGATACCCATGTACATTAATATGTACATATAATTTGTACAGTATTATCTCTGTGTGTGTGTGTGTGTGTGTGTGTGTGTGTATATGTATGTATGTGTGTATGTATATATATATGTGTGTATGTATGTATGTATATGTATATGTCTGCAGGCTGTACATGTATTGGAACATATGACTTGGACTGAAGTAGTTTGGGGTACTAGAAAAGCTATTGCGGGATTTACTCAGTATTCCAAATCAGCATGACATCCTTCTTTAGCTTTGTGTTCTTTGTACTAGTAAAACATACTAAATCCAATTCAAGTGCATTTGCATTAGAAAATTTCCATATTCAAAACTTCCCAGCAAATTCCTGTCACTGGTATGAAGCTGCTTCAAAAAAAAAATGGCAGCCTCGACTACAGGAGATGCCAAACAGCACTTGTCCTTTATTCGGTCTGGCTACGCCATGGGTTTATTGCTGCTTCTGGTGGGGATGAGACTGTGTGAAATTCTTTTGTGTGTCTGGCATGTCCCCCACCCGAGTTGCACACTGATGACTTTGATCTGTCCTGGCACCCTGGAACTCTGACTGCTGTCCTTTGGAAGCGGCGGGGTGGCTTAGAGAGGAGTGCTGCTGAAGCATAAGGGCTCTGGGTCTAATTGTGCCTTTCCTTCTTGCATTGCCAGGCTGACAGCCTAGAGAAGGAGCCAGTACCCATGGAAATGCAGCCACCTGCACCACCTGCAGGCTCATTGCCCCACCGGCTTGGGTCCTACTCAGAGAAGAGGGTCCCACCACCAGCCAGTTCTTCTGAGGCTCCGCAGGGGCTGGAAGCTGCTTCTGCCTTCAGTGAAGGCCTCTCCTCCTCTCTGCCATCCATGGACACTGAGAAGAGAGGCTGGTCCCAGGACAGTGATGCTTTAGAGGCCGTTCCGAATGGTGAGAAGACCTGCACCTTGAAGTGGAGAAGCGGGGGTTGCCGAGCTCTGTTTATTCCAGTGCATTTTTAGCCCCACACATCCTCTGACGAACTCAGGGTCGCATACATGTTTTTCTCTTCCCCATTTAATCCTCATGACCACTGTGTGAGATAAGTTAAGCTGAGAGAGTGCAGCTGGCCAAAGGCCTTCCGACAATTCTGAGACATTCATAGTGGCAGTGAAGAATCCACTCGGGGGCATTATCTCATTTCTGCCATATAGTGATATACTCACTACTAATTTTTTTAAGTTGGCAAAGCACTTTAGCAGTTTCCCTGCTTTTTTTTTTTTTAAATCAGAACTAGTGTTATGATGCTATGGTGTTATATTGCTATAGCAATACACCTATTGTAGATATATTTTAAAAAGAAGTCTGGTGGGAGGGGCAGGAATGTGGGTGGGGTGGTACAAAAATCCGCACCCTTTCTGTCTGTACACAGTGACCAAATTTGCTTTGAATGTGATCTTTCGGGAAACCTCGTAAGCAGCAGGGGGGGGTCGGGACAGAGGCATTTTTCAGGGTTCTTCTACTGTTACCTTTTCTTTCTCTCCCCCCAGAACCAGAGCCTATCGTGAACCTAACATTTGTGAAGAATGATTCATATGAAAAAGGGAATGATTCTATGGTTGTGCACATTTATGTGAAGGAGATTCACAAAGAGACATTCAGGGTTCTTTTCCGGGAGCAAGACTTCACACTGTTGTTCCAGACGAGGTACGGTGGCTCCCAGTGTGGGTAGGCCCAGAATTCAGTGTTATCCTGTGAAACAAGTGATGGTCGCAGGTTGTATCATCAGTTTCTTCCAATAAAATTCTTGCCTCTTTTTGCAGTGATGTCAACTTTCTGCGACTACATCCAGACTGCAGCTCTCACACAATGTTCAGGTGGCAAGTAAAACTCAGGTATTCAACTCTCTTAGCATGATTAATGCTGAGTATTTGACCTCCCCATCTGCATATCTGTACTAATTTAATATGGACTCTTTTACTTTCAGAATTAATGTATGTGCATTGCAAAGTAATCGTGTACATACGTTCCTTTGCCTCAGGGTCCCAGGGCAAACCCATAGCCAGAAATTATATGGTAAGGGAGCATTAGCACACTGGGACGGGCACTATATTTGCAAGGACTCATCATAATAAAACCTGAGCTGATGGTGTCATGGGGGGAAGGGCCTGCAGATGTTGCATTGAATGGTTATATTAGAATAACCGTACTTCATGTATCACCATGTGGGCCCCACATGTTACCTGTGTGTAATCATAGTCATGTGGCTTTGGCTTTGATGCGATGTGCTATTTACCCGACTAAAAAATGAAAATAACATGGACATGAAATCAAAATGTAGTTGAGCTTTTAGAGCTGGTTATTGCCTTATATCTCCCAGTTTTCATGTGCAGTAGTTTATCACAATCAGGGAGGCATAAAAGTCTCAGAAGAAGCTATGTACTGGTGATATGAAACACCAACAGACATCCAGGTCATACTTGGAATCTTTTGTTGATTTGATTCGTGTACCTACATTCTTCTCTCAAGGGGTGTAGCATTGCTTAAGGCTGCAAGATAGGATTCAAAACTGTGTTGGGAAAGTTTGGGCTGAGTAGGGGCAGAACACAGTCGATCAGTGCCAGTTACTAAAATTGAAGTTTCCTAAGTTGCACCTGCTTGCAAATCGCTTTCCCCAACCTAGAAATTGTTCTGTAGTACTGCGTAGGTAGATACACATGGTTAGTGCATAATGAGAGGAAAGCACTCTGCACATGTGCAGCATGTTTGTAGTCTACGTAGGGAGAGAACTGATTATTTGTGGCCCAGATGTATTTAGATCTTCCCAAAGACCTTTATTTTTCTGAAGCAAGCAGTAGAGGGTGTTAAGACTGCCTAGATATTGTGCCCTTTTAGCATTCTGTAGTAAAGCACTATTGTAAAAAGTTTTGGAGCTTTAACCAGAGTGAGCATTATGCCTCTTTAGTCCTTTAGCCCTAATCCCATATGGGGGGAGTGTCATGGTGGGTGGTTAATGGTGAGTAAAAGGCAATTCTCTGTATGCTCAGAGGCACACATTCCTTTACACAGACAAATTACAGCAATGTAGCTTGCAATTAATGGTTAAAACCAGGTATCAGGCTAAGTGAATTGGACATGCGTTTTTCTGCTCCTGCCCCTGTCCCCATTTGGCTCATTTACTCCCACTGCAAACAGAGGAGACAGCCCCCAGATAGTATGAATCTCACCCCAACTTTCTGCATAGTGGTTCTCACCACTCTAAAAACAAACAAGAAAAAGGAGAATGAGTGTGGTCAGGTAGAGGTTAACACACACTCACTTTGCAACTTTCCCTTCCCTGTTCCTTCCCAGGCGATCAGGACAAAACCTGTTTGCACATTTTCTCTTCTGTCTTCACAATCAAAAGAACTATTTTTTTATAGCGAAGCTGAGAATTTGGAGGTGGGGTTAGGGTATGGCATTTTCCAGTGGAGGGGCATTGCCCCCAAATACCTCCCCTGCTCTCTGACTCTGCCCCAGGGTTGGGTGTGCTGAACAGAAGAGCTCAATGAATCCTTACTCTCTCCTTCATGGAGGCATGACTATATTTTTCAGTTCTTTTTTTTTTGTCTGAGTCATCAGTTACTATAGTGCTTTTCTTTCTGCCGCTGTACTCAGACACCCTTTACTCACCTGTCCTTTCTGTGGCGCCAGATCCAGCCTCTGCATTTGATTGCGCCTTGCCAGTCCGCTAGATGGCTGCAGGTGTGCCATCACTCTTCCCTCCTCCCCTTCTGCCGCTGTACTCAGACACCCTTTACTCACCTGTCCTTTCTGTGGCGCCAGATCCAGCCTCTGCATTTGATTGCGCCTTGCCAGTCCGCTAGATGGCTGCAGGTGTGCCATCACTCTTCCCTCCTCCCCTTTATCGAGCGCGAGGTCACTTTGTCAAAAAGGTAGAGAGGTGGACAGCATGGGGCTGCCCATCTGAGAAGCTTCTTTTTGCCTTTCCTTTTGATGGACTAAGCGGGGCACACCACCGGGGTTTAATTCTTTAGCCTCGTGCATCATTGCCCCTTCTTTTGCCCTGTGCATTGATGACCTGCTGTCCAACCCCTGCTGTACTGTCTTGCAGGAACCTCATAGAGCCCGACCAGTGCACGTACAACTTCACCACTGCTCGCATCGACATCTGCCTGAAAAAGCGGCACAGCCAGCGCTGGGGGGGCTTGGAGGCTCCTGCCACACGAGGTCTGCACCTTGGCTTTTTGGAGAGTGCCCTGCTGGGGTTTCTTGGGGCACAGAGAAGGAGGGGGGAGTACTGGGCAGGATGCCTGGGCAGAAAATCCTGAACTTAGGAAACTACTGTGGGCAGATCAGCAGTCTGGGCTGCTTTCGTGCTGTGATCAGTGTTTGGGTTGGGGCCAAAGAAAGTGGCTTGGTCGGTGGGGTTTTATTAGGAATCCAGCTGTTTGGATATTGGAGTGTTCCTGGTAGCTCCTCTGTGGAGCCTTAACAAAGCACGGAAGGAGTGCTGTGCCATTGGTTAGTAACAGTCTTGGTAGCCTGATGGTAGATGGTGATGAGCAGCATGTCCCTCACTCCTGGTGCACATGGTGCTGCTAACCACAAGCCCATTTCTCCCCCTTTTTAAGGTGCAGTGGGTGGTGCAAAGGTTGCCATACCAACAGGCCCTACCCCTCTGGACAAAAGCCAACCTGGGAGTAACCAGCACCCACTGTCCACTAAGGAGGAGGCAAGAGCGGGTGAGAAGGAAAAGCCACGGACCGAGGACACTGGTCTGGACAGTGTAGCTGCTCGGACAGTGTCAGAGCACGTGCCGGTGAAGCAGGAGCCACATGTACCCTCGGTGAGAACTCCTGTGCAGTGTGGGGACTTCCATTTCCTAATCTGCTGGGTTGCAACACAGCGGGGGGGGGGGCTGGTTTCCCCTCCAGAGGACCCAAGGCATCTTACAGCCAAGAAAGAAACTATATGGATAAATCAATAAACAACCAAACAGCAGAATGCATCTTGATGTGGTCCTGGACTCGTGTGCTGGCTCCTGTGTAAGCCTGGGTTGCAAGTAGGGATGGGCACGAAC